TTTGTTTTATATGTAAGTTTAAATATGAACCTTTAGGCTTAAAAAATAAAAACTAGACCAGACGGAAAACAACGGTGATTTGATATGGATGTTTTGGATCCGGTCTAGACGAAGTATAAAAGTGGTTTGATATGGATGTTTTGGATCCGGTCTAGACGAAGTATAAAAGTGATTTGATATGGATGTTTTGGATCCGGTCTAGACGAAGTATAAAAGTGGTTTGATATGGATGTTTTGGATCCGGTCTAGACGAAGTATAAAAGTGATTTGATAAGGATGTTTTGGATCCGGTCTAGACGAAGTATAAAAGTGGTTTGATATGGATTTTTTTAATATTCTCTCGGAAAATGAAAAGAGTCTAAATTGATCGGATTGGATCCAAAAATTATTCATATAAGGAGATTACAATCATGGTGAAAATGCTGAAAGTTCATTGATAACATTATAAAGGTGTGAAATAAAGAGGAATAACACTAGATAGATAAAAATGTCACTTTACGAACCATATACATGTATCATTGTGCCAATTAAAATGTATGAAAGTAAACCAAAAGTTTTTACACTTGAGAAACTTTAAAATGCTCGACTGTCAATATACAATCAATGGAAAGATGTGTTCTAGTTATATAACTTATAATGTCAAACTTATCCATCAAATAAGGATGTCAATAATAATAATTCCAAATATCCTAAACGCGGCTGTTTTGTAATGTCCCCTATAACAATTATTATAAATTTTGATATCAAATTATTCTAAATGTCAGAAATACGTTGCAAATATTTTTCGATTATTTTTGTACAATTTGCCATGTACGAGTATCTACATCCTAATGTTTTAATATACTCTAACATGAATTGAACATTATCCTTAATGTAAAGGGTCACATTTAAATATTGTATTGTATTGTATTGTATTGTATCGTATCGTATCGTATCGTATCGTATCGTATCGTATTGTATTGTATGAAGGGGATATTTTTTCGTTTTTCGTGAAATATGGAATATATTTTCACGAAACATGATAAAATGCCACATATTTTAAAGAAATATATTTGACTGATAATACACCATATTTCATGGATATTATATTATATTGTATTGTATTGTATTGTATTGTATTGTATTATATTTTGTTTGAAAAAAATGCAGATAGAGTTCTTAGACATTTAGTATGAACATTTATATGAACACAATATTATATGCTATATAGAGGATATTGAATGAGTGTAAGTTCAATACTGAATTTATTGCACGAGTTGAATAAAATCATATTATGCGAGCCTCTGGTGAGCATAATATTATTTTATTCAACGAGTTTAAAGTTTTAAAGACATTCTATTTTAGACCAATTCACTTAATATAGATGTTTTGGACTCTAAATATTAAAAAAGCTCTAAGGGGTATACTAGTAATATGCATACAATATGGCTAACCATATGTTTTTTTTTTTTTTTGGATTCTGGAAAAGTAAACAAGGCTAATATGAAAAGATTAGATCCAAGTATGATTACGATTGGAATATGACGTGGTGCAAACCCTACTGTAAAGGTTTATGATTATATTCTTTAAGGTGGGGGAAATAAATAAGAATAGAATATTAACATTAGTCAGAATGAGTAAAAATATGTTTTATAAATGTAACCCCTAACTATAAAGTGCTTGCGAGGATCAAGAAGGGGCTCTGGAACCCCTCAAGGATTTGACTATCAACATATTTTTAGAGAAAATCACGCACAAAAAAAACTTGCAAAAATCCGCAAGTCAAATATTTCACCTTAATATTCCCTGGATTCGCGCCTGACATAAAAAGGGGAAAAAGAAAACATGTTTGCCAGCTTTGTGTATTAATCTCAAATCAGTTCTATTTTTATTAAAGCATTTAAAAGTGCATGTACGAAAATATTTCAATAAAATCAAATTTGAGAAAAATGCACTGAAATTTCAGGAAAAGTAAAAATATTCAAGATTCTTGTAATAATTTACATTTTATGTGCGATTAATAATTGATTTTTCAGTATTTATAACTATATATTTCTTCTGCGTTACAAACGCAGTAAGGGCAATTTTTGCATACTGTATCCTCTTTTTTGTTATGTACGTGGGTTGTAACTGCCTTTGATAATGTGTAAATTGCTTCCTTTTGGTTATTTCACTAAATGATACTTTAAAGCACATTTTCAAAATTTTCATGAAAATTAGCATGGGTCTGGAGGCGTGGTGCTTTAAATGCAATGCAACTAACATCTAATGCATGTTTCAGAAAACATTAGGTCATTTTAGCTAGCGCCTACACCCAACAAAATTGCTGAAATTAAGTGGGCATTAGTATGTTAGATAAGAACATTCAATTCAAGCTTACAAGTACATTTTCAGAAGTTCAAAACATATTTGATGTTATTTCAGTATTGCTTTTGATGTTGTTTTTGTTGTTATTTTGTTGTTAGGCTTTCGTGTGTTGATTTTGCACCAATTTGTATCATAATAACGCTCTATACCAGGCTGCTTTTGAAGTTTCAGTGTTATATTCTTTTAATATATTCACAAACGATCTAACATTTTTGAAATAGTATGATGACAGTAGGTCTAGACAATTACCTGTGTTACTCACATAAATTATATATACTGTATATAATTATAGACGTAAACCACAAGAGATAAGTAATGATTGAGATAAATCTATTTCGTTTTAGAATATACATGTAATTGCAGCGTTTATCTTTGACATTTATCCGCTCACAATAAAAAAGGCAATAAATTGTGAACTTTAAGCATCGAATACATGGTTGAATAAAAAGATATGTTGTTCACATTTTCAGTCTCAGGGAAAAAATATTATCAGTTTTTTCTACTTGTAATAGGGTTTGTAAATCCTGATCAGACTGCGCGGATGCGCAGGCTGGTCTGGATCCATGCTGGTCGCAAACCCATTATGTTGGTTTTGTCATGGCGCGGCTCATTTTTTTTCTTCAATTTTTTTCTTTGTTACAATAAATAGTATCTGCTTTAAACTTACGATAATTCTTCATCACTCAGAACATGTATGTTCATAAGTCTAGCATGTTTATTTCAAGAGTTATCTCCTCTTTAGTTTAAGAATTTTTCTTTTAAAAATATTATATTCTGGTAACAACTAGGGATGTTTAAAGATTTACCCTCATAGTGTCTGTCAGCTCGTCTGTCTGTCCGTTCCTAAAAACTGTTTCCTGAGATCACTTTTAAAGACCTTGGAACTTTTCCAATAAATTTACTTAAAGTGACATTATGCTTATTTTTTCATTGTCAGATAGAGTTGATTGACTAGAATATATTTCAAAAGATTGACTTTTATAATGGTAACTGACCAATAGTTGATCTTGGAAAATGTTTATGAAAAAAAATAAATCTGCCTTAAATAAAAAATTGTCCCATTCTTTTTAAAATTGAACGTTATAGGTAAATTCTGGTGTATGTTTGCAGAAATTTCCATGGGTAACGTGAATTATATATCAGTCATGCGAAGTAAATGATAAAATCTAAAGTAATAAATGTAAACATTTTTGATTTTCACCTGTTCACTTATTTAAAAAAAACCCTTAGATGGGCATGATGTTACTTTAAAATACAGAAAAGTTGAAACTTTGTTATTCATATTCATCCTGAGAAAATTGGACCTTTTGACTATCTGTTACATAAACACAATTTCCTTACTAGGCATGTAAACTCAAGGCATTACTATGATACAGATAAACTAAGAACTAAATTGATTGAAGTTCATTCATTTCTACCACAATGGCATAATTGAAGAGCCAATGTTGCTTGTGTTCTTACTTTTGTATAGCTTGTAATACTATGATACTTGTGTGTTGTTGTATACTTTGTATATCATTAAAAGTATGATATTTTACATGTTTTTTGCAGAAATATGTTTAAACTAATAAAAACCAGTAAGCATCCATCCAATTAATAACCGAAAAGAGCACATGATCAAACATTCATCAAAACAAGTATAAAAAATAACAACAAAGAAAGTCCTTGTAAGATTTATTCTATTTTCTTTTATTGAATTTACCATTTCATTAATGCACATGTATGTTTCTTATGCAGAATATCATAGCATAATAATATTCTTGTCAAATTACTTGTTTGAGAATATTTTCCTCCATAACTTCGATCGGACAGAATTTTTCTTTTCCAGGTTGTTATTCTGAAAATAATAATAATAATAATAATAATAATAATAATAATAATAATAATAATAATAATTAATACTTCAAGTGTAATTGCATTCTGTTTTGGTGATGGTCATATGGGTTGAATAGTAAAAGAAGTCCCCAAATGCTAATTACTATGTACATTGTTTCAGCCAAGTGGATGGGGTAAAGTCAAGACAAGTCAAGTAAATTTTATTTATAACAAGCACAACATAGGCTCTAATGAGTTTCTTGCAATGGCTTCAGGACAGGTTGTTTAAGTTATGGTTGGCTACTGAGAATTAAGATAACTGAATGTATACATGTATATTCATCAATAACATCTAATTAGCTCAAATTGTGCATTTTGATATTTTTTTCTTGCCCTGTATATCCTATAAACAGATATATGATTAAAATATGTAATATTTTTAACATAAGAACTAAGCAACACTGAAGTAAAGTATAGATAAAGCTGCATGCCTCTAGAAAAGCAAAAATATTAAAAAAAAAAACCTAACTTGAGCAAAATGTACTAAAATTTTAAAAATGTAAAAAGGTTCAAGATTCAAGTAATACTTTACATGTGTGCGATTAATGGCTGATTTTGTAATATTTATCATCATATTTCTATTGCGTGACTGTTGAATAATGGGTCAATTTATTATTAAATATGTACACAGAGTGTGCACTCGTAATATATTACACAAACACGTGTTGCTAGTTCTATCGTTTAATGAATGTTCCAGATAAATGAGTGGCGGGAAAATAATGGACATGTGCATTACAGTATTTTTGCACATTTTGACCCCTTTTTGGTAATATACGTGTAAATAACTTTTTTCGTAATATATGTGTAAATAACTTTCTTTGTTCACTTTACAATATTCTATTTTTTAATACGTTTTCAAAATTTTCATGATCTCAAGCATGAATCTGGAGGCATGCTGCATTATGGCTACATGTATGTAATTATGTGTAAAAGGTGATTAAAGTGAACTAGTAACGATATGAATATTCATAGGTAAGGTCAATACAATCACCTTTAAGTACTCATCCAAAGTATAATATTCTGGTTCCCCGCATACTGGTGGCTCGCTTATCAGTCCTTCAGCTGTTTCTTCTGCCCAATCATATTCCAAATTATATGCAACGTCACAATGGCTAATGGAAAGGGTGGGTGAGGTGACGTAGCCCATCAAGAAGTATGTGTTACCAGGGTGAAGTCTCCGAAGACATCCCCCGATTCCATTAATTGTTATAACTTTCACCGCATCTTCATATATAGGTGTTGACCTTACAATGTATATATTTTTGGTAAAGTTTAACATAAATCACTGAATGATTGGCTTAAATTGATAATTATAATAATCATTGACAATAGCATAAATGTATCATTATTATACAACATTGTTAAATCCGTGACTGAAATGGTCATGGGTATAACAGATTATCTTAACAAAGATATAACAGATATTTTTCATTCAATCAAGTTACACAATTAATATTCTTGCATAAAACTGAGCATGCAGCTATACATAAACATGTAGGTTAAAAGATTTTCGTTAACGGATGAGATTGACGTCAGCACGCGCCGTTAAGGCACGTTTTTGATGTTGTTTTTTTCCATATTAAACGTAATTCAGGGCATCATGTAAAATGGCTGACTGCAGTTTGGCTGACCTAATGACGGCCCTGGTAAATTCAAAATCAAAACAAAACAGTCAAATAATATCACAATTGTGTACGAAAAGAATCTCTGTATGAAAAGCAAATAATTAACGAAACAACCAAATTATACGCTTTACTTTTTTAAAGAAAAGCTTTAAAGCACGAAACAGCAGGTGTATAAACAGTTCAAAATGGATATGCAGATTATATTATTTTTAATTAATTCAATAAAAAAAACTTGGTACTTACTTGTACACATCTTCAATTTCAATTTCATATGTATATTCCAAATATTTGTTGTATTTGGACAGCCACGATTCTGTTGTGGTAGAAACGCCTTCTGGCACTCCCTGGTTTTGCCATGGAGGTTCTAATTCGGTAAGAACTTTAGCCTTGATGACGAAATTACTTGTACAGTATAAACTTTCCAAAGGCATCCAGGAACATGAGCATCCCGTGCAAAAATTCACGTTCAGAACCACGAATAAAGTGAAGAAAGCGAGTTTTAGATGTTGGCTTTGCATGACTGTATGTTGTTGACGACTCTCCTAGCAAAAACACAATCAAAAATTATCAAATTCTTAATGTCGGAAGTTTTTTTCCTTCTTTTCTTGTATATTTAGATTAATTCAAAATGATCTTTATCAATATGACAGTGAATTTGTAAAAGATATTGTTAAATTTAAATGTTTATTAAATCTAGGTTAAAAGTTTACCCTCACCTTTATTGCTGTCTTTTAACGCCGTTTTTATGACACAAAATGTTTAACCGTTATACAGTGCTGGAAAAACAATGTTCGGGGACTGAGAGAAAATTCAGCATATTATTATATTTCAAATGAGGATTGATAGTGCAATAGCGATAATGAAGTCATTAAAGTTAATGTACCAATGCCCTTTACATAATGTAAAGATTTGTGCTGTTGTTGTTGTAGTTGTTGTTTTATATAATATTAGAAGGTCTTAATTGTTCGTAACTGATTATTTTTATTAATCGCTTCCAGCAGGAAATGAATTTAGTTATTTCTAAATATATACAGTGTACCTTAACAAAAAAACAATGATAAATTGAAAATAATTGCAGTTTTATTTAGCGTATCTGTAAATGTCGTCAGTTAAATACGTAATATGTGCGCCATTAGAATAAATGCAAGGCATTCCATATTTCAGAAACTATTCTGCCTATAAGCTGACTATACTAAAAATGTCAATTTTAGAATTTTCATGACACTATGGGAATTCTATGTCGGCTTACTCTTACACTTTCGTATATCACGCCTGGTAAACGATACTTCCGAGCTAGTACATGTCACTAAAATCAGGTGTCAACAAAGGTAAAGGGTTGTCATTCCTTTACTGGGAAACGCCACCACAACTACATTTCAAATACAATTATAACAACTTTACGTTTTCTGGAAAATATAATAAAATATACATGGTTTAACATTCTCCGAATTTCGATATTTGGTGTAGAGTTTACGACATATACAAAAAATGAAAACCCAAAACCTTTGTTGACACCTGATTTTAGCGACATGCACTAGCTCGGAAGTAGCAATAGAGCGATTTACCGTATACGTCCTAAAGAGGAAGCTCTATCGTTTACCAGTTCAAAGTTTTTGGTTTGCAAGTGCGCTAGTTGGACTTCGTCCCAACTAAAAAGGGGAAAAGAAATACTTTAAAAGATCATTGGTGAAAATGACTGTCCGGCAACCATTTTTAGGCGACTTCTATTCCGTCGTTATCTATTAATATATAGCGAATATTTTATATTATTGTTTTTGATATTCGATATACGTTAATTCACATATCTTAATTTGATCTACTATGAAATATACTGTTTAGTTCTTGTTTCGGCCATAGGTGTTCAGAATTCTGTGTTTCCTTTACACAATTCCTGTACATTATATTAAACATTGTATTATCGCATTGTTTAAAGTTTGATTCTAGATATAAAAAAAAAAGATTAAGGATTTAATTTTTTTTAACGCAGAAAAGATTTTGGGGTTTATATCCGAGCAAGACTTTACGTAATTATAATACATTCTGTGTTATTATCGGATATAATATCAGTTGTAGTTTAACCCTTAGTCTGCTGGGGACAACTGTTTCCACCCATACGACCAAGGCAAAGTTACACCAACCGGTATACAGTATATGTCTGCACTGTCCGCTTTTCAGTCAACACACCTTGAATTTTTCCTAAAATTATAAAAAGGTCTTGTCCGGATAGAAAGATGGGCAATTCCATTCAAGATATTAAACGATTTCGGACTTCAGCGCTTGCGATATAGCCCGACCCGAACTTGTATCATTATTGCACACTTGTCTGCACCGAAATTCCTCTAAAATTGAAGAAATAGATGGATATTTTCGATGAAAATATCATGAAACAATTGTTCATTTTGAAGTTTTACTCAGTGTTATCGGGCTATCATAATTCTGTGTGTACGTTTTTTGTGTGCATGCAGCAGTGCACAAAATGTGTACATGTACCATAATTGGGAGTTTGTATATAGACAGCATTCACGGCAGACAACATAATTTAAGCTAACCTTTTGAAAGAGGTTTCATGCTCAACTTATATTAAATATCATGTAAAAAATATTACATGCCTAAGGTTAGGAGTAATTTATTTTATAAAAAAAATAATATTTATCTTTGACATTTAGAATTTCTAGATATTCTGACATATTTGCAAGTTTGCATACAGACAATTTTATACATCGAAATTCTTTTGTTGAAACGTTGTATTCTACTCACAATGAACATTGATTGATATTTTACATTTAGACGATAGGAACATACGAAATCAAATTAATGTTTTTACATTATTTTTTTTTAAGAACCATGTCTGCCTAACTATTATTCATATTGAACTTTAAAAGAAAATCATTCTTGTATGGAACATAGAATGTTCTAGAAATCTTTGCAATTCACTCTATGCTATGTTTGCGCATGAACTCTTATACTGCACGTTTGTAACGTCGTTTTTCATTGGATAATCGTGACGTTTATCTAATTAGTTATAAATTTTTCTGACTGGTTGTATGGTCCTATATAAACGGTTGTATATTATAACCCTGATTATCCAATGAAAAGCGACGTTACAAACGTGCAGTATTATAAAGTTTTATATTATACCTCATTTGCATACGCCCTTCTATATTTAATATGACGTCATCCGGTCCATAAACCGCATACAGACCGGGGGCGGTCCATAATTCTTATAAGGACTGGATGACGTCATATTAAATATAGAAGTGTATGCAAATGGGTTATAATATTTTATTTTGTTGTTCAATGATTCATTTTACTAAATTTATTGTTATGTTTCACATAAATTTATTACATGTTGATCAAAAGTCATGTTTTGTCTTTAATGTAATTATAAATTTTATTTATGCAGTTTGTGAAATTCTTAAAGTCCGGGTTTTTTGCCCAGTAACATTAACATTTGATTTGATTAACAAAAATGGAAAACTAAAAGAAGAGCCTGATTTTTTGCTGCATCTCTTGAAAATGATAAAAAAAAATACGCCTAGATATTCTACACACTGAACAGATAAAATTATTATTTGAAAGCAAATTATAGTAAAAAGGACAGCAACATGTACAAAAGGAATGAAATGATTTATATTCGGTATAATATAACAAATAAAACATGGCATTGCAAGTTAACGGACTGGTTGGTCAGACCTCGGAAGGTATAATGGCCCTCAGCGCATATACATGTAGCTTCCTCAGTCTGACCAACCAGTCCGTAAACTTGCATATTGCCCTCAAGGCCATGTTTTATTTGTTAAATATACACGACTGCTGTCGATTTATGAAGAAACTTTACTTTTTTCTTTAAAAAATGATGCTTGCTGTATTATAAATTCGTTATAAATATTTCTGACAGGTTATATGGCCGTATATAAACGGTTGTTTGCAATATAACCCTCGCCTAGCGGATCGGGTTCTATTTAAAAACAACCGTTTATTTAGGGGCCATATAACCTGTCAGAAATTTTTATAACTAATTATATACTAGTATTATAAAGTTAAAACCAAAAAATGAAAATATATCAAGCTTATAAGAACCAGTGAAATGGACTGCCAACAAAAGATGTCTTTCATATAAAAGATTTTATATAAATATTATCTTGTAAATAGGTACCATGTAAGTTTTTTTCTGTCGAAATCAACAGAATAACAGAGGAATTCAAGTTGTAAGTCATTATTTGTTAGGAGAGAGTATATAAATATCATTACAGTAAAATAATCATACCGAGGAGAAAATACTTTTATCCCAGCCGTTAGCCGAGAAATTTTTAGAGAGATGATATTTTGCTGTTCCTCACAAAAATGTGTGTTATTTATTTATTACCCGAACAAATACTTCAGATTTTTACTATGAAAAAGTATTGTTACCTATGAAACAGTACAGATTTTTAGTCACATGGTACACTTGAATTAACAGTAAGAATAACTAGCATTGGCCTAAGAGAAATTAACACACCATAAATAGTTAGGGGCAATAATAAGTATCAGGGAGCCGCCATTTTGACAATATTCGTAAAAGGGGACTTGTAAGTGTTCTTTAAAGCCGTTAGACAACAAAATAAATTTTGGTTATATCATTTATTTCATTAATTTTCTATCTGCCGGCATCAACACTAAAATATCTGGAATTAAAAAATGTCTCCGTGTAAAACTATCTATGAGAGAGTATTTTTCTCCATAAGTTCGGTTCTGAAGACCTTTTCTTTCCGAAGTTATTTCTCTGAAATTAAAACAATGACAATTACTGACACAGGATTAAAAACAATGGTAATTACTGGCACAGGATTAAAAACAATGTCAATTACTGAAACAGGATTAAAAATAATGGCAATTACTGAAACAGGATTAAAAATAATGGCAATTACTGAAACAGGATTAAAAATAATGGCAATTACTGAAACAGGATTAAAAACAATGGTAATTACTGAAACAGGATTAAAAACAATGGTAATTACTGACACAGGATTAAAAACAATGGCAATTACTGGAACAGGATTAAAAGCAATGGTAATTACTGACACATGATTAAAAATAATGGCAATTACTGAAACAGGATTAAAAACAATGGCAATTACTGAAACATGATTAAAACAATGGCAATTACTGAAACAGGATTAAAAACAATGGCAATTACTGAAACAGGATTAAAAATAATACACTGTGGCAAGGCGTTTACCACAACTTTTCTGCGCAACGTCAAAATATCATACTTCAGCCCGAGACACCGTATCTTTCTGGACAAAATAGTATAATGGCGGACTAATCGAAATGTACGAAATAGCTAATAAAATATCTTACAGCTAGACATTTCAAACTTATTCCAACTTTTTTAATTATTCTATCGAAATTTTGAAAAAGAAATCATCGTTAATCTAGCACAAAACAATGCGAAAAACGTCACATATTTCGAAGAAATAGTGTTTACAAAAAGTCATCTCGACTTCAACATGACTCGTACTTGTCACAAAAACCTGTGCACGATTTGTTTTGGCTGACGAGACCGTAAACCTGTATTTCTATAAGCATAAATTAAGGTTCCATACAAAAGGGTGTATTTCTTTCGTAAATTTTTGGGAATATGTGTTGGAAAAAGTCCTACTGACATGAATATTGGAGCACCGCACAAAACTGAATTCCAAAACTAGTTTTATTTCCGAAAGACTGATAATTACTGGCATTGTTTTCTTTTGCACTATACTTTACAAGTAACTGTAGACTTACAGATATTCTATCATGTTTTATGAAACTGTTCACTTTCTCTTTTATTAATAAAATGTTATTTTATGAAAGACTTGAAGGTCGAATGTCCAAAATACCAATTAGATAAGTGCGATGGTCTCAAAACCTGGAAACAATGTGCTCGAAAGGACTAATCACAACAAAGTTACATGAAAATTGCAGACTCGGAAGACTAGTAAGTTGATTTTTTTTTACATAATTTTCGAATTTCTTCAAATGCATAAACCCCACATGTATATATCTCTCGTCGATCGAAGTAACTGGAAAAAAAAACAGAAAAAATGTGCGGTGATTTAAGGACGAATGATGCGGTGTTCACATCTTACTATTGTTCAAGTTGTACGGTGCCTAAATACACACGTGGAAACATGAAAATCATATCAAATATACAAAAACAGGTTTTTAAATGGTGTAACTCGTTCAAACGACAATAATGTACATTTTATATTACATTTCGATCAGTCATATGAACTAACGGACTAGAAAGTCGTTATATTTCGCAATCAAAGCAATATTTTTCACAGTATGCCCCAACTGTTTTCACTTGGTGAAGCATTTTGCATATACATGTAGTAAAGAGTAATAATTTAAGCTTCAAAATAAATGACACATTCGATGGAATGAAAAATTCTATGATTTTATCTTGTTTTAGGCAAATGACCATCTGTTTTCTGGTCGTATGCAGACTTGACATCTATTTTTATGACAGAATGATGCGGTACGTGTCTCGGTCAGAAGTATGATATTTTGACGTTGCGCGGGAAAGTTGTGGTAAACGCGTCTATCACGTATAATAAGAAATGCGCCATCTTAGTCGTATGAGTTTGATCAGATGGACCACCTTGTACGTATTATTTATGAATGTATGAACGGGCACTATGAAGTGGTATACGTTTTTTAAAGCTTACTGGACAGTTACCTCAGATGCAGCCAGATTGTCTTAAAAAGATCTTTATCTTACTATCTATATTATCAAACTATTTTCTCTGGTGGAATATAGGCATACTAAGAAAGCTGGCACGGGCTGTGAACCGTAAAATTCATAGATTCACGCAGGCAGATATAATGGAATGAGCATGATACAAGATTTATATATGTTGAATTAATGTCAAAACGACCACCTGTGCGTACTCGTCCGTAGCGTAATATTCTGGTTCCCGGCATACTGGTGGATTGCTTATCAAATCTTTAGCAATTTCATTTGCCCAATCAATGTTCAAATTAAATGCTCCTTCACAGAGACCTATAGCAAGGGTGGGTTCAGACTGCCATGAGGTGACAAAGCCGATCAAGAAGTACGTATCACCGGGTGTCAGGCCGGGTACACAGGTCTCGAATCCTACTTGTGTTATTATTTTCCGAGCATTTTCGTAACTTGGCGTTGACCTTTTTAAAAGGAATATATATATACATATGTATTGTAAATTTGAAAATTGTGTTATTTTACGAAATGTTGTTAGTCGGCTTAAATTGGTAATGCAATTTTTCATCAATCTGTAAAGTACATTACCTTATACGATATAACATAATTTTGAAGAAGCGTATGCATGGTTCGGAACATCTCGGCTTTTATTAATTATCCGGAGTTTGACGAAAAGGATCGAGAATATTAAATATTGATAAAAACAATAGGTACGAATCATTTAAATATTCTTACAAAAATATTTCTTCAAGTTTATCAAGTATAACATGATTTAATATGACATTTATACTAAATATAAAATGTTTTGTTCGAAAACATTTTATTATCAACATTCTTTGGTGTTTTTTATCACACGTGATATTAATACTATCAACAAATATTTATGGTTTTGCTAAAAAAAAATTAGTTTCCATCATAGACCAATTCACTTTATAAATGTCATTTTTGTCTTCAATTAAATTGTAAAAACCAGTAAAACCACCCAGTATAGTATGCAACTACACTTCATGTTAGCTGCATAAAGTACTCATCTTTTAAGTATACTGCTTTGCGCACTTTTGCAAATTTATGACTAGACTAGTGTCCATCTACTTGCCCCTGAACGCTGTGGGTTCGAATCCCGCCAGGGCTTTACGATTCTTTCATGTGATCGCGTTAGGTTACGGAACTTCGGTAGTTCTAATCAGGTTCGCCACAAATCTTCCTCCATCAGTAAAACTTGTAAGTCGCTTTATGACCTTACTGTGTTGGTGTGACGTTTTAATGTGTAAAAACTAACATGGACTTTGCATGTCCTATATAATTATATGGTTAACTGTTGGCAGAAATATGCCACCATATATAAGATATATTATAATATTAAAGGAGACACTACAGTAATTATCGTGTAAAATTAAATGATTAATGAGCCGCGTAACGACAAAACCAACAACGTGCGTTTGCGACCAGCATGGATCCAGACCAGCCTGCGCATCCGCGCATTCTGGTCAGAATCCATGCTGTTCGCTTACAAACCCTTAACAAGTAGAGAAACTGACAGCAAACAGCATGGATCCTGATCAGACTGCGCGGATGAGCAGGCTGGTCTGGATCCATGCTGGTTGCAAACCCATTATGTTGGTTTTGTCATGACGCGGCTCAAATAATCCATGTGTAAACTAGTCATTGTTAGAACTTATTGTACGGTTTAAGAGATATTTTGCACTTACCTGTAGACTTCCTCAATTTCAATTTTATATATATATTCCACATGTCCAGTGTAGATAGGAAACAATGATTCAGTTGTAGTCGGCAATGGTGGCACTGTCTCAGTAAGAATCTTGGCCTTGATGACAAAATCACTGGTACAGTATCTCCGTGCTAGCGGCATCCAAGAACACGAGCACCCCATGCAAGCATGTAAGTTCATAAGCACAAAGATGGCACACCATGCCAGTTTAAGTTGACAGGTTTTCATGACTCCTTTTGTTGCTTTACAACGTAATGTAACAGACTGAATAAAACATAAAATGATAATTCAATAAAATTTGTGTGAAGTCACTTATCGTATTGTTTTAAATGAAAGTGATCGTTGTTTTTTATGCAATAATAATGTTTAATACAAAGTGATAAATCAAGTAAGAAAATCTAGCATTTGATATTTAAGATTTCGTTTAAATTATTTTGCTCCTATCAAGTTTTCTTGAATATCAACTCTCCTTACAATACTGGGAAAGGGTAAGTGAACTTTCAGTTATATTCATATCTAGAGTAATAACGGTTATTTCATCATCAAAATTAATCGTATCAGTGTCCTTTGAATAAATTACTAAACAAACGTTTTTTTTTTAAAGAATTTGGTAGTTTAGCAAATATGTTGATACATGATAATTCTAGTTGTTTGATATAATTTAGTAGATTCTGATTTACAATTCATGAAATTCCAGAAGGAGATAACGCGGTGTCTAAATGTAAAGTGATTTTTTTTCTATTTGTACATGATAAACAGATTTATAGAAAGCCCAAATGACATTTATTTGATCTGCACATGTCGCCAGTGATCTGTGTAATTTGTCCATATCCAAAATTAGTACGTCTCATTATCCATGTATTTTTAAAGAGATTATTGTGTTTATGTTTTGTACTTGTACTGAATTTGTAATCATCATCATCATCATCATCATCATCATCATCATCATCATCATCATCATCATCATCATGATAGCATGGTTAATGCTACAACCATGTCTCTTTATCGGTGCATGTATTGCAGTAATGTCGTTTTCGGAGCAAAACAACGTGAACAACGTGACACTAAAACTTGCCTAGGAACGCCTATATATCAGCTAAATATACCTTTCCGAAAAAAATATTTTCGGTCCCTTAGATCTTGTCAAAAACCTCATAGGAGTCCCTTGAGGACATGAATATTAGCACTTTTAGTCTAACCAGTTTTGACATTTAACAAAAGAAAGCCCTCCAAACTATAATAAAATGCATAAATAGGAACTTCCAAAACAGCTATTAATCAGAAGAGGGAAATATCTTTTTTCCCACTTTTTCTTATCAAAGATTTATATCTCATGATCGTATTTATTATCATACGTGAAAACAAACCACAAAAGTATGAATGTTGTTGGTACATGATACATGATCTGATATTACATATAAATATATAGAAGATTGGTCTCGAACAATAAATTGAGCCGCGTCACGACAAAACCAACGTAATAGGTTTGCGACCAGCATGGATCCTGACCAGCCTGCGCTTCCGCGCAATCTGATCAAGATCCATGCTGTTCGCTTACAAAACCTATTACAAGTGGAGAAACTTATAGCGAACAGCATGGATCCTGATCGCGCAGGCTGGTCTGGATCTATGCTGGTCGCAAACGCATTACATTGGTTTTGTCATAACGCGGCTCAATTTATTAGTATTCGTCACGTGAATGTTCCAACTAAATCACTTTAGAACTCAACATTCTTTTTTCCACAAAGGAATATCTGAATGGTATATTTCTATTGTTTTTTTTCTCAATATTTGAAATACTGATGAAAAATATGTTAAATGTAGACAACTTTTGATTGGTTTAAGGATAGCCTACGAAAGTGCAAGCACTTATTTCCAGTAGAGTCCTCACCTCAGCAGACACTAATGACAGCTATGAGATACAAGGGAATCCGGGAACCAGTCCCTAGCTCTTATTGAATAGATATCTTGGTTCTTTCACATGCCCAGTATATGCATGCGATGATTACCTGGGTTTCGTACCAGTATACCTCTAGGTTGGTGGGAAGCCCTGATAGTGTTTCTGAAAAAACACCAGGGGTGTTACCCAGGTTCGAACCCGGAATCCTTAGGAGTGAAAGTCCGTGGTCTAACCAACTGAGCTATCGCGCCACTTTACTATGATGTACTAGACAAAGATAGCTTTAATTAAATAGAATGAGGGTAGGCCTATGTATTTTTAGCGTTCATGTTAAAACATTCCTGGACTAAATTCACTAAGAAAACATTTTATTTATCTATCTTTTTGTCTACTAAAGTTTACATTGAATTTTAAACACTGCCTGGGTTGTCGATCTCTTTGATAATGATTCGTCACCAAGAAGGCATGCAAATATTCCCAGGAATCCTGTGTGATGTAATTATTATTTCTTTCCTTTGTCTTTTATTCATTTATGTTTTGATAAATTCAAGCAGCTACGTTGATTATTAAATGTCCAGTTGGTTACTAGCTATAGCCTGGGATTCAGGCGTTGATACATTTTGCTTATTCATAACATACGCGCTATTTCATACTCAATCGTCATAGATAACACAACATCTCTAGTTTTGCGTCCAACAGAAATAAAGTAATTTAGGATCAATATATATAATTATAGAACGGCATAAAAACAACACAAAACAAGCAAACAACGGCAAAAAAAATGACTCTAACGGTTTGAACGTCTACATAGTCAATGCCAAATATAAATTCGTGATATTGTAAACTGTTTTCTAGTGCTTCACAATAAAATAAAAATTTTAATATTGTATAGTAACAAATAGAGCTAGTAACTTTTGCTTTAGCCTATTACTATTCTAGAAAAATTAATAGAACAAGAAAAAAAAGTAAAACAAGTGTTCCGATGCCGGGAATCGAACCCGGGCCGCCTGGGTGAAAACCAGGAATCCTAACCACTAGACCACATCGGATACATATCATGAGCTTGACTTTTATTGCACTTATTCCTATACACATTGATTAATACTCTGAGCATGCGCGTCAATACTGCACGCGAGTCCAATTTCCGTTTAGAACAAAAGCTTGGTCAGTTTTGTTGGGGTGTTTATTTCACAATAACTTTCAGTGTAGGACAAATTTATACAGCAAAATATAACACTATATCAATTTTACAATTATAATCAGCAAGACGGGTTCTGTGGAAGGTACGTTACCGAAGCATTGCATTAAAGTATTCGCCCCATGACCAACTCGATCCTGATAATTTTCTCATTTGACAGGTGCACTAAATTTGCCTTGTCTAAGAATCAACGGCAAATCCATTTATGTGTATAAATATCTAAGTCAAATGTTCGTTCACGTCACAGGACGTCGAATATGGGATCCTCGAAATAACTTTTTGCGATTACCGACTGGGCTATCTTGCCGCTTCAAAATGGAAGTGGCTAGCCGTACGGGCCCGTACAGCTAGCCAAAAGTTCTAGCCGTACGTTAGTCCTATAAATATGACGTCGCTTTGAGATATTTTTGCTTCTGGGTCAGGCTTGACCGACAAAAACTATAACAAGCCTGTAACATCTAATATATTGGACTAGCCGTACGTGAGCCACGTATGACTAGCCAGGACACACTGTATTGGCTAGCAGTACGGCACTTTTCAAAAATTTATGGAAGGCGAAAGTAAATATGTTTATTATGACTTTAAGCGAGGATTTTAGTCAAGAATGTTTACTTTTTATAGATTAATCGACGTGTTGGCTTCAGTAAAGAATGTTCGTACTTTAATTGTCATCTCAAGAGGTCGAGAAAAAATAGCGTTTGGTTGCAGTTAAATAACATCAAATGAAATAGTTTACAAAATTTTGATAATATTCCTTTTTTGTTTCATTTAGTTTAATTTTTAAATTGAAAAACAAAACAAAACAAAAAACACCGAAAATAATTGTTGTTGGGCTCAGATAATTGCGTCAATTACCGACGGTATAGAAGTTTGTCCATCGTCCATCATTAAGGAAAGTTTGCATTATTAAAATTATTTTTTCCTTTTTTTTTTTTTGCAAAATAGCGGAGCATCTTTATTAAAGTGAACATACTAGGACAAATGCGGAGATTTGATTAAAATCGTCGTTTAAAGACACAAAATAACATATGCATTTTCGACTTCCATATAATTTTGAAAAGTGCCGTACGGCTAGCCAGTACAGTGTGTCCAGGCTAGTCGTACGGCTAGCCACTTCCCTTCAAAATAGTGAACAGTAATAACCCGTGACATCATTCTCCACTTTATGATTATCATATATATAGTATATCTTAAGAAATTCATTCTTGATTTTCTCTGCGCGAGCTGACCATTTAAATTGACTGTTTGAAGTTTGTACTCCTGCATTTTGACGGACAAAGTTTGTAAAAATCAAGCAAGAACAATTTTGACTATGTGCACAGTTTTAGTTGTAAAATTGAACTTTTACCTAGATTTTGATGATGTGACCTACTTTCTTGTCCTTTGATGTACAGCTATGAAATTTGAACCATGCGGTGGCATAGCATTTTTCTCAAATGCAATCTTGTAATCACTAGAAAATATACTGTACTGGTTGGGGACCATCAAAACCGGACAACCACCAAACCCGGATGGCCCCAAAAATGCTTAATTTAGTATTTTCTTTGTTCAGTGGTGGTCAGTCATTTTTATATCAACAATAAATGCATGTTTCTTCTAAAATTAAGTAAATAAATTATTTCAACCTCCGTAAATGGTAATATTTTAATGTCTATTTCAAGAATTTGACGTTGAAATTTGGGGGCCAAAAAGCAATGCCTGACCTCATATACCATTTTTATATGCCCGAAAGAATTTCGGACATATTATATTATACCCCCTGGCGTCCGTCCGTCCGTCTGTTAGCAATTTGGTTTCCGGAGCATAACTTAAGTTCCATTTGGCCCACAACATTCAAACTTCATAGGATGATTGTCCATATTGGATAGAAGACCCCTATTGATTTTGGGGTCACAAGGTCAAAGGTCAAGGTCACTATGACCTTAAAACTGAAAACAGTTTCCGGAGCATAACTTAAGTTCCATTTGGCCTACAGTGTTCAAACTTCATAGGATGATTGTCCATATTGGGAAGAAGACCCCTATTGATTTTGGGGTCACAAGGTCAAAGGTCAAGGTCACTTTTACCTTAGAAGTGAAAACAGTTTCCGGAGCATAACTTAAGTTCCATTTGGCCCACAGTGTTCAAACTTCATAGGATGATTGTTCATATTTGGTAGAAGACCCCTATTGATTTTGGGGTCACAAGGTCAAAGGTCAAGGTCACTATTACTTAGAAATTGAAAACAGTTTCTTGAGCATAACTTAAGTTCCATTTAGCCCACAATATTCAAACTTCATAGGATGATTGTCCATATTGGGTAGAAGACCCCTATTGATTTTGGGGTCACAAGGTCAAGGTCACTATTACCTTAAAACTGAAAACAGTTTTCGGAACATAACTTAAGTATCAATTGGCCTACTATGTTTAAACTTCATAGTATGATTGTCCATATTGGGTAGAAAACCCCTAATGATTTTGGGGTCACAAGGTCAAAGGTCAGGGTCACTATTACCTTGGAATTGAAAACAGTTTTTGGGCCATAACTTAAGTTCCATTTGGACCACAATATTGAAACTTCAAAGGAAAAATTTTAATTGAAGGAGGTAATACTTTATTTAATTCCCATGTCTTACAAATGCTTCATCTTTACAAAAAAAATCACTTTCGGGCATATAATGCTCCGCCTAGCGGTGCTCTTGTTAATCATTTGCAGAGTAAACAATAGAATATCCAAAACTTCAGCATTTGTTGCTGAAATATAGTATATCATGTTAAAAGTCAAAAATCAAAGCACCCAAGCTTTTATCTGAATTTAATCACGTCATGTACATATCTGTCCGGACACATGGTACTGTTGTGTTGACAATTTAGGTAATTTTGATACCCTCCTTGTCAAGCCTCAGATATAAGAGTCAATACATTCAGAAATAAACAAACTAGTTTGTTAGTTAGGAGAAGAACCTAGCTGAACTGTGTCAATTTTTTTTATCTCTAGTTTAAAAATTATGAAATCTGTATGGAAAAATGTTCAAAAAGTGTCCGGTTGATGGTCCCCGACCAGTAGTGTATAAAACTAGCACTGTGAATGATAAGTGTAATGAATCATGGCTACCTGTGAATTTTTATTATGAATAAGGCAAAGCCTTTAGACAAGCTCTTTGAGTGAATTTATGATGCATAAAACTTTATATGTAATTATTGAACACACAGGCTGCTGCACAATTTTTGCAGCACACTAGAGCACACTTTGCCTCATGATTCCCACAGCACTACTTCACATGAATGACATATTTTTTTTTAGTTTCAAAATACAGCCATTTCATGTCTGATGGAATATTTAAATTGAATTCATCCATCAGAGAACATGAACTTCACTAAGAATTGAATTTCGTCAAAAGGATCCAAATTAAAAATTCTTTTTAGGTAAAAGGGAATATTATGAAAGTTCATATTGACTTTAATCAGTCAAATTTTGCATATTTAAAGATCATATTTATCAACACATGTATGAGTAATGTGTTAAAACACATCAAAGAAACACTAAAATTGCATGAGGTGTTAAACCCCAAAAGCGGTTGAAATAACTTTTAAAAACCAATGATTTTTTTTCTTCAGATTTTGTTTTCTCTGCGGTGGTATAAATGGAAGACAGACCTGGGAAGATATTTGTAGGAGGTCTGGATTTTGATATAGACGAAGAAGAATTTGAGAAAATATTTGCCAAATTTGGAAAAGTAACTGAAGGTAATTCATTAATTTTGGCTTGTAAACGGTAATGAACAACCCGACTTGCTGGTTTGAGAGTACCTGCTGAAAATTAGGGTATAAATACATACATGTTTATATGCCTGCTCTTGAATTGAGCACTTTGCTAATTTTTAAAACTTTATTCTAAGAGTCATTCTTAATTTCTTTTATTAATCTAACAAAGCATGCTTTACTTTATTCTATTGTTAAATACTTAACCACATTGATCTGCAGCATGAAAATGCCTTACAAAAGGAAAAGGCTGTAATTCAGGATTTTAGTTTTAACTGGAGTAGATGATTCAATTTTGTATAAGTGGATCTGTATTTAATCTATCACCCTAGATATGGATGATGTAATTCATAGTGAGGCTAATGACGATTTACTAATACAGATCTAAGCTTATAATAATTTATGACACAAGGGTAACTGGTAATGGTGTATTATATTTATATATTATTTTACAGTATTACTAAAACGTGATCAGCAGACTGGTAGATCTAGAGGTTTTGGTTTCATCACATACGAGAATCCCTCGGATGCTGACGACGCTGTAAAGTCACTCGATAAACAGGTAGTTTACTGTTTCATGTATTTCACACCCAATATTTTAAGAAAGTAAATAGATTCAAATAATAATTTACATGTTTTGTGCACTGAAAAATTATTCTTTTTTTTTTTAGAGAGATAAATTTTGGTATGTGATAAGTAGAATATTATATTTGTTTATGTTCATTACTGAATTTATTGAATTCGTTGAAAACAATATGTTTTTAGCTCGACTTTTCTATGAAAAGGGGAGCTATCCTACTCGCCCCAGCGTCGGCGTTGGCGTCACACCTTGGTTAAGTTTTTCGTACCACCCCACTTTATTTCAGAAGTATTACAAGTATGGCTTTGAAACTTACCATACTTGTTCACCATCATAACCTCCATCTACAGACAAGAGTACATAACTCTGTCAAGGTTTTTGACAGAATTATGGCCCTTTTTTGACTTAGAAAGTGTATTGAGCTTGGTTAAGTTTTTTGTACCACCTCACTTTATTTCAAAACCATTGGAGGTATTGCTTTGAAACTGACCATACTTGTTTACCATCACGACCTTCATCAACAGACAAGAGGACATAACTCTGTCAAGGTTTTTGACAGAATTATGCCCCTTTTTGACTTAGAAAATACATTGAATATGGGTAAAATCCACTTATTGCCTTAACCCTTTGAGATATTGCTTTGAAACTTTTAATGCTATTTCACATCATTACCCCCATCTGTACGCAAGAGAAGGTAACTCTGTCAAGGATTTGTTTTAAAAATTAAGGCCTTTTATCGACTTAGAATCTTGGTTAAGTTTTTAGTACCAGTCCACTTTTTGACTGAACTGTTTGAGATATTAATTTGAAAGTTGGAATACTTGTTTACAATCATGATTCCCAAACATGTCCAGGAGAAGGTAATTCTGTCAAAGATTTTATTTGAATTATGGCCCTTAACTGTCAATGTTTTGTATTATAGGCAAGCACTAAAAAACTTAAAAAATCTAAAAAAATTCATTCCTATCCACTTGTTCACTTTACCATAAATTATGTCATATAAACATTGCTGTAATATTCAAGGGTATCAAACAACTAGTTTTTTTTTCTTTCTTACCAGCCCTCTTTTGACTTAAACATTTCAAACTTTGCTGCAGTGTTCAAGGGTATCACACAATTCAGTAAAATAATTCTTCACTAAATATCTTAATGCTCATGGCCATTGTTCACTTTAAAAAATACAGAGATTCTTGTATTGCCTTTTACTGCAAAAACTTTTTTTATTGGCAAGCAATAAAAAAGTCGAGCGCGCTGTCTTACGGACAGCTCTTGTTATTCAACTTATTCAATAAATTCATTGAACTAACACTCATTCAATATCCTCTATTTCTTCATTAAAGCTTTGAATGCTTATTGATATGTGACAGAAAGTTTCTTCATAGAATTCAGTTATGAAGAAAGTTAATGTGGAGTTTACACTGATACAAAGTAACCAACAAAATCATTCTGATATATTTGTAGGATTTAAAAGGTAAAATGGTACATGTAGATCATGCAGTAAAACCAGGAGGATCGTCAGGGGGTGGTGACCGCGGTGGTCGTGGTGGGTTCAGAGGCAGAGGTGCACCTCGAGGTAATGTTCACTGATCATTTGTCATTTACAAATACTAAAAAACAACACAAGTTCTGTCTTTCACATGGCCATGAATAATATCTTAAGATTTTCATATGGATTCTTACCTTAGATAAGACAGAGTCTAAAGTTTTGTTGCATGTGATAGAAAGTGTTCAATGGTAAAAAAATGCTTATGTGAGTATAATGATAATATAGTTCTCATTTAGGCATTTTATTGATGTAATTAACAATATTCATGTGTGTTTAATAATAGAGGTACTGCAAAATCGTTACTATTGTTGGAGAGCCAATTTTAGTGGTTTTCATAGATAAGTCAAGCCATGAATTCAAGATACAAAAAAATTTCATTTAGTCTGCTTATGATTATTTTGCATTGAATTATTTACATAATACCTTTGGAAAAAAAAACAGTCCACAATTTTAAGAACCCACAAAAATGTTCTTTGTGATATAGCCACAAAGTTTCATTCCCATGAAATTAAGTGAATTCACAGTAATCATTATTTATAATAACATTTCTTTTGAGTATTGACCATAAGATTATGGATATTACATAATTTTACCTTTTATAAATGTTAGAAAAAAATATCTCATGAGATAGCTTTATACCCTGTAATGAAACCTTATTTTCCCTCTCCTGGCATTGATCAAAATTTTGCACTAAAAGTCCAGATCCATACCTCAATTTTTAGCTCACCTGAGCATGCTCAGGGTGAGCTTTTAGGATCGATGATTGTCCGTCGTCCGTTCACATTTTGTTGTTAACACTCTAGCGGTCGCATTTTTGCCTCAATCATCATCAAACTTCGTCAGGATGCTTATCTAGTTGATAGCTCGGATGAGTTCGAACATGGGTCATGTCGGATGAAAAACTAGGTCACAAGAGCTAAAAATAGAAAAACCTTGTTAACACTCAAGCGGTCACATTTTTGCATCAATCATCATCAAACTTGGTCAGGATGCTTGTCTAGGTGATAGCTCGGATGAGTTCGAACATGGGTCATCTCGAATGAAAAACTAGGTCACTGGAGCTAAAAATAGAAAAACCTTGTTAACACTCCAGCGGTCACATTTTTGCCTCATACATCATCAAACTTGGTCAGGATGCTTATCTAGTTAATAGCTAGGATGAGTTCGAACATGGGTCATCTCGGATGAAAAACTAGGTCACAAGAGCTAAAAATAGAAAAACCTTGTTAACACTCTAGAGGTCACAATTTTGCCTCAATCATCATCAAACTTGGTCAGGATGTTTGTCTAGGTGATAGCTCGGATGAGTTCGAACATGGGTCATCTCGAATGAAAAAGTAGGTCACTGGAGCTAAAAATAGAAAAACCTTGTTAACACTCAAGCGGTCACATTTTGGCATCAATCATCATCAAACTTTGTCAGGAAGCTTGTCTAGGTGATAGCTCGGATGAGTTCGAACATTGGTCATCTAGGATGAAAAAGTAGGTCACTGGAGCTAAAAATAGAAAAACCTTGTTAACACTCTAGTGGTCACATTTTTGCCTCAATCATCATCAAACTTGGTCAGGATGCTTGTCTAGGTGATAGCTCGGATGAGTTCGAACATGGGTCATCTCGGATGAAAAAGTAGGTCACCGGAGCTAAAAAAAAGAAAAACTTTGTTAACACACTAGCGGTCACATTTTTGCCTCAATCATCATCAAACTTGGTCAGGATGCTTGTCTAGGTGATAGCTTGCATGAGTTCGAACATGGGTCATCTCGGATGAAAAACTAGGTCACCGGAGCTAAAAATAGAAAAACCTTGTTAACACTCAAGCGGTCACATTTTTTCCTCAATCATCATCAAACTTCGTCAGGATGCTTATCTAGTGATAGCTCGTATGAGTTCGAACATGGGTCATCTCGGATGAAAAACTAGGTCACAAGAGCTAAAAATAGAAAAACCTTGTTAACACTCTAGCGGTCACAATTTTGCCTCAATCATCATCTAACTTGGTCAGGATGTTTGTCTAGTTGATAGCTTGGATGAGTTCGAACATTGGTCATCTCGGATGAAAAAGTAGGTCACAGGAGCTAAAAATAGAAAAATCTTGTTAACACTCTGGTGGCTACTGTTTTGATCCAAATATCCTGTAAATTGATCTGAAAGTTGGTTTTGATGATTTCTAGGTCAAGTTTGAATATGAGTCCCCTGGGTAAAAAACTAGGTCACACTGCTCAAATATGGATAATCCTTGTTAACACTGTAGTGGTCACATTTTTGACTCACCTGTCATGAGACTTGGTCAGAATGCTTGTCTAGGTAATTGTTTGGATGAGTTTGATGGGTCAGGTGAGCGATCTAGGGCCATCATGGCCCTCCTGTTTGAAATAGCACAATTTTGTGCTTCATGTTAAACTTCCCTTAGGCGAGGCTCATTGGTAACTCTGTTACAAATTCTTTTGAAATCTACATGAGGATATTACTTGAAGTTTGGTGTAATAAGGAGCTCATTTATGTATTGATAGGTCGAGGATTTGGCGGAGGTTTCAGGGACAGTTACAGTAGTGGTAGGGGTGGTTCTAGCTTTGGAAGTAGAGGTGGAGGATTTAGAGGGCGTGGTTCACCTAGAGGTGACAGAGGAGGAAGGGGCGGGTTTGGTAGTCGTGGCAGAGGTGGTGATCGACCAATGAGAGGGAGTTATGGTGATGACAGGTTAGTTCTCTTGTTATAGTTGAAATAATTTGCTTAGGTATGTTCATATTAAAGTACATTGTAAATGTTTTATAATAATTATGATAATCAGTTATTTTGAAAATGGCAAGTAGAAACAAAAAATAATATCACATGAATTCCATAGGTAATCACATCTATTTTCCATCCTTACATGTCACATTTCTTTCTTGAATTTGATGAATTTGTCAAGGTTTGTGATAGCTTGTGCCGAGTATATTCCCTCACAGAACTTTTAAGCCTCACTCTGATCATTTACTCGAAGGAAATGAAGTTGTATTCTAAAATGTTAATCACTCATTTTTAGCTCGACTTTTCTATGAAAAGGGGAGCTATCCTACTCGCCCCGGCGTCGGCGTTGGCGTCACACCTTGGTTAAGTTTTTCGTACCACCCCACTTTATTTCAGAAGTATTACAAGTATGGCTTTGAAACTTACCATACTTGTTCACCATCATAACCTCCATCTACAGACAAGAGTACATAACTCTGTCAAGGTTTTTGACAGAATTATGGCCCTTTTTTGACTTAGAAAGTGTATTGAGCTTGGTTAAGTTTTTTGTACCACCTCACTTTATTTCAAAACCATTGGAGGTATTGCTTTGAAACTGACCATACTTGTTTACCATCACGACCTTCATCAACAGACAAGAGGACATAACTCTGTCAAGGTTTTTGACAGAATTATGCCCCTTTTTGACTTAGAAAATACATTGAATATGGGTAAAATCCACTTATTGCCTTAACCCTTTGAGATATTGCTTTGAAACTTTTAATGCTATTTCACATCATTACCCCCATCTGTACGCAAGAGAAGGTAACTCTGTCAAGGATTTGTTTTAAAAATTAAGGCCTTTTATCGACTTAGAATCTTGGTTAAGTTTTTAGTACCAGTCCACTTTTTGACTGAACTGTTTGAGATATTAATTTGAAAGTTGGAATACTTGTTTACAATCATGATTCCCAAACATGTCCAGAAGAAGGTAATTCTGTCAAAGATTTTATTTGAATTATGGCCCTTAACTGTCAATGTTTTGTATTATAGGCAAGCACTAAAAAACTTAAAAAATCTAAAAAAATTCATTCCTATCCACTGAACCTGCAGTGTTCAAGGGTATCACACAATTCAGTAAAATAATTCTTCACTAAATATCTTAATGCTCATGGCCATTGTTCACTTTAAAAATACAGAGATTCTTGTATTGCCTTTTACTGCAAAAACTTTTTTTATTGGCAAGCAATAAAAAAGTCGAGCGCGCTGTCTTACGGACAGCTCTTGTTTACTCAACTATTTTATTTATATAATAAGAAGAGGTGTCTTACTCACCTGGGTGTTCATGTGTGAGTCGCACTTTCGGTATATGTTTTTCGTACCATCCATCTTATTTCCTATACCCTTTGAGGTATTGCTACTTGTTAGTGACCATCATCCCCACTTCTAGGCAATTTCTTATAATAGTCGAGGGCGCCGTCTTAAGGACATTTCTTGTGTTAACTTGTACTCACTTATACTAACTTACTTGACGCTTTATAATAAGAATGTTCCATCCAACATGACCAGTGTCAATGTTCAGTTAAACCCAAACACACTGACCTGTTTGCTGATGTGGTATTGGTTTTAAATTATCATATCCTAAATTTTGGTATTTGTTTTTTTGATGTTCAGGAGAGGTCCCCCACAAAGACGTAGTTCAATGGACAGAAGTTACAGTGACAGAGCACCACCATCCATGAGGAGAGGTAAACAGATTTTTAGCTCGACTATTCGCAGAATAATCGAGCTAATGCAGTCACCCATTTGTCGGCGTCGGCGTCCCTGTGGTTAAGTTTTTGTATGTAAGCTGGTATCTCCACAACTACTGAAGGGAATGGATTGAAACTTCACACACTTGTTCTCTGTGATTATCTAAGATGATTGGCACAAGTCCCATAACTCTGATTTGCTTTTTTACATTATTATGCCCCTTTTTCGACTTAGAAATTCTTGGTTAAGTTTTTGTATGTAAGCTGGTATCTCCATAACTAATGAAGGGAATGGATTGAAACTTCACACACTTGTTCTCTGTGATTATCTAAGATGATTGGCACAAGTCCCATAACTCTGATTTGCTTTTTTTCATAATTATGCCCCTTTTTCGACTTAGAAATTCTTGGTTAAGTTTTTGTATGTAAGCTGGTATCTCCATAACTACTGAAGGGAATGGATTGAAACTTCACACACTTGTTCTCTGTGATTATTTAAGATGATTGGCACAAGTCCCATAACTCTGATTTGCTTTTTTTCATAATTATGCCCCTTTTTCGACTTAGAAATTCTTGGTTAAGTTTTTGTATGTAAGCTGGTATCTCCATAACTACTGAAGGGAATGGATTGAAACTTCACACACTTGTTCTCTGTGATTATCTAAGATGATTGGCACAAGTCCCATAACTCTGATTTGCTTTTTTACATAATTATGCCCCTTTTTTGACTTAGAAATTCTGGGTTAAGTTTTTGCGTGTAAGCTGGTATCTCCATAACTACTGAAGGGAATGGATTGAAACTTCACACACTTGTTCTCTGTGATTATCTAAGATAATTGGCACAAGTCCCATAACTCTGATTTGCTTTTTTACATTATTATGCCCCTTTTTCGACTTAGAAATTCTTGGTTAAGTTTTTGTATGTAAGCTTGTATCTCCATAACTACTGAAGGGAATGGATTGAAACTTCACACACTTGTTCTCTGTGATTATCTAAGATGATTGGCACAAGTCCCATAACTCTGATTTGCTTTTTTACATAATTATGCCCCTTTTTCGACTCATGAATTCTTGGTTAAGTATTTGCATGTAAGCTTGTATCTCCATAACTACTGAAGGGAATGTATTGAAACTTGAAGAGTTTGTATCTTTTCGGACAATTTTATGTATTCATATAGGTAAGCATTATTATACTCAATGAAACACCCTTGTGACAAATTTTCGAATAGTCGAGCGTTACTGTCCTCCGACAGTTCTTGTTATTTATATGAATTTTGTTAGTGTAACTGTTTACATTGATGTATTCTATTCATCAAAGAAAAATACAGCATTTAAATTGCCTTTGGTTTGACTTACAATCATGCAGTTCATTTTTGAATAGAATTGAAAGTGCAGGATTTCCATACAAATGATAAGTTTATATAATTTAATTGCAATTATTGGAAAAAGGTGGCTTAAATTGGTCATTAATATGTACACTTTTCCCTTAAAATTTAGATGAAAATAAAAAGAGTTTTAAGTATGTTTTGTTAATTGAAACCTGACTTCTTTACTATGTTATTAACACTAATATTGTATATAGACGATGATCGTTACGGTGGTATGGACAGAGATCGTTATGGTAGCTCGAGCTTGTCAGACAGACGACCCAGAGATCCCTATCCACCTTCCCCACCATCAAGAACCATTGACAGGTTAGTTAACATAGTCTTAGCAGGGCAATGTTACTATATTAGCATTATTATCCTTTTAACATGGTAAATCTTTGCCAAAAACTCAAACCAGCTGGCAATCAAAGCAGTAGTTAAAGTTAGCCTCGCTGTAGCATTTTGACTTTTCATATGTGTTTCAGCAAACACTGATTATGCTGCTGTGAGGTATAGATAATTGGAATATCAGCAGATTTAGCCATATGTTTTCAGCTTTTTAGCTCACCTGTCACAAAGTGACAGGGTGAGCTTTTGTGATCGCTTTTCGTCCGGCGTCCGTCCGTCCGTAAACTTTTGCTTTAAATGACATCTCCTCATAAACCACCGAGCCAATTTCATCCAAACTTCATAGGAATGTTCCTTTGGTGGTCACCTTTAAAAATTGTTCAAAGAATTTAATTCCATGCAGAACTCTGGTTGCCATGGCAACCGAAAGAAAAATCTTTAAATATCTTCTATTAAACAACCCTAAGAGCTAGAGCTTAGATATTTGGCATGAAACATCTTCTAGTGAGTGTCTACCAAGTTTGTTCAAATAAAAGCCCTGGGGTCAAAATTGGCCCTGCCCCAGGGGGTCATTGATTTTCCCTATATGCATATAGTAAAAACTTAAAAAATCTTCTTTTAAAGAACCCAAAGAGCTAGAGCTAAGATATTTGGCATGAAACATCTTCTAGTGAGTGTTTACCAAGTTTGTTCAAATAAAAGCCCTAGGGTCAAAATTGGCCCCGCCCCGGGGGGTCATTGATTTTCCCTATATGCATATAGTAAAAACTTAAAAAATCTTCTTTTAAAGAACCGTAAGAGCTAGAGCTTAGATATTTGGCATGAAACATCTTCTAGTGAATGTCTACCAAGTTTGTTCAAATAAAAGCCCTGGGGTCAAAATTTGCCCCGCCCCGGGGGGTCATTGATTTTCCCTATATGCATATAGTAAAAACTTAAAAAATCTTCTTTTAAAGAACCATAAGAGTTAGAGCTTAGATATTTGGCATGAAACATCTTCTAGTGAATGTCTACCAAGTTTGTTCAATTAAAAGCCCAGGGGTCAAAATTGACCCCGCCCCAGGGGGTCATAGATTTTCCCTATATGCATATAGTAAAAACTTTAAAAATCTTCTTTTAAAGAACCCAAAGAGCTAGAGCTAAGATATTTAGCATGAAACATCTTCTATTGAGTGTCTACCAAGTTTGTTCAAATAAAAGCCCTGGGGTCAAAATTGGCCCCGCCCCAGGGGGTCATTGATTTTCCCTAAATGCATATAGTAAAAACTTAAAAAATCTTCTTTTAAAGAACTCCAAAGAGCTAGAGCTAAGATATTTAGCATGAGACATGTTCTAATGGGTGTCTACCAAGTTTGTTCAAATAAAAGCCCTGGGGTCAAAACTGGCGGGTCATTGATTTTCCTTAAAAGTGTATAGCAAAAACTTAAAAATCTTCTTTGAAAAAACCCAAATAGCTAGAGTTTAGATATTAAGCATGAAACATCTTTAAGTAAATATCTACAAAGTTTGTTCAAATAAAAGCCCGGGGGTCAAAACTGGCCCTGCCCCAGGGGTGTCATTGTTTTTTACTATATGTGTATAGTACAAACTTTAAAAATCTTCTTTTAAAAAACCCAATGAGCTAGAACTTAGATGTTTAGCATGAAACATCTTCTTATGGGTGTCTACCAAGTCTGTTCAAATAAACAAATATAAACCCTTGGGTAAAAATTGGCCCGGGGGTGGGGGGGGGGCTATATACAGGTGAGCGACCTCAGGGCCATCATGGCCCTCTTGTTTAACATTGGTTAGAAACATTCTTTTTAAAGTACTTGAATTTTGGCATTGAATGAGTGTATGAAGCCAGATTTTAAAGAATTTCATATGTAATTTTAGAGATCCAGTGTCTTCCTACAGAGATTATGGAATGTCCAGCAGAGACTACAGTCCACCTAGGGAAAGAATATCATCCAGGTATAACAATAACTGGTCATTTCTAAAGTAGAAATTACTTTTAACCCTTATTCTATTTAATGCTTAAAATACTGAGATATTTCTTTGGTTCTATTTAGGTACCCTTTTGTGCCTGAATAAATGCATGGAAGGGCACCTGAGGTCTTCCTCCCAGACAGTAAAGCTGGAAAGTTGCCATATTATCTTTATTGTGTTGGAGCAACTTAACCCCCCAACCCCGACTAGGTCAATAAGTTTTCAGTTGAATTACTTGATTTTACAAGTACATTTGATTGTACAACACAGACTTGTTTACTCAAGATTATTTGGTGCGGGGGGGTGTGGGGTATCACAAAATGCTCAAAACTAATATCACTTCCTTAATTTAATAAAAGGTAAAAGTAAAAAGTACTACTGTCTTATTTTTGGTTATCAAAATCTTATAAACGGAAATAAATGTTTATCTTAAACATTTCATGAACAGAGAGTATGTATCAAGTAGAGATATTGGTGGTATGTCTAGAAGCAGCTATGAAGCACCTAGAGATTCATACACATCTAGAGATTCTTATATAACAAGTAGTAGCAGTAGACGCGACGACTATCCGACACCCAGAGATACAAGGGAATACGTTACATCGAGAGAATCTCCACGAGATTATATACCAAGGTAAAATTACGGTTTCCGTTTCTTACCTATAACTCGGCTAAATTTAACACATTACTTGATTAAGAGTAGCCTTGATATTGTATACCCAGGTATAATATGATTCTCTAACTGATATTTTACTTGAATACAGTTGTTACATCAAGAAAGTTGCCTTTAATAATATTCTGAGGTACACTTTCAATATTCCCTTTATAAATGTTTATTGTGATTTTTGCCGGTTTACAAAATTATTTACCCCTCACTAGGGTGAATTTTAATTTTTTAGCTTTACCTGTTTCGAATTTTGAATTTTCCATTGAGGGATTTCAACCTCATGTATCCTTTGTCTTGTCTGTATGTGTGAGGTGCACCCGTCCTGACCTGATTTGAATTTGGCCCATGGATTCTTTTGGGTGTTTGACTTTCAATATTCAGAGATGAATTGAGAATATAAAGGCACTCCATTGACGTACAAAAGCCTTAAAAGCATAAAAGATCAACTGGGACACTTAAGCCAGGAAAAAAACCTGAAAAAGATGTGAAATAAATTAAAAATTTATATTTTGTGACATTCTTGAGATTAAACAGTTTGTCATTGAGTTTTATATTTTCCTAATTTTTGAAACTTCCCAAAGAAATAATGAATGGTATTGTCCAGATTGAAAGACAGGCAAGCCAATTTAACATATCTGGGGTGATAAGGGTTAACAGTTTGTGGTTGAGTTTTAATATCTTAATTAATATATTATTTTACAGAGAGACAACACGCACAATGAGCAGGGATTATGACAGAATGCAAACATCACGGGATACATATGATTCATATAGAGGTTTGTAACATCCAATTATTATTTTTTATTGTTTTGTTAAAGACTTCTTTACTATAAAGTTGAAATGGCTACAGACAAACACTGTCATTGCGAACTTGTCCGAACCATGTCATTTTGTAAGCTATTTCGTTGTTAGTTATAACCTATTTATGGAATATGTATTTTATAAACAACCAATTTATAGTGAACATAGCAATATAACAGACATAACATTACTATAATAGTTTGAAACAGACCTGAATAAGTAGTGCTTTATAGCCGAGTTTATGCTATAATCAAATATTGTGTAAACACAGGATTTTATATACCATAAAGCAGGCAATTTTGGACCTAGCAATAATGTTCTTAACGGTGTGTATGCTATATCAGAGATTGCTATGAGAACCACTGTTTATAAAGAATAAAAACAAAGAATAAAAACATCAAGGTGGAGTCTTTTAGTACTGAGGTTTTTTGACATGATTGGACTGAAAATATTTTTTCCAGATAAATGTGCCATTTGATGTAGGTTTAGACCACTAGTCTATGTGCAAAATTTCAGATCATTCGCACACTTGGTTTTTCCAAAATAATTATTCAAATTGTAAAAAAATGACCCAAATGAAAAGCCTTTAAACGCTTTGCTAAGAAAAGCATTAACATACGATTTTCAAATTATTTCAAAGTATAGTTCTTCTTGATCTTTGCATATATTTCTGTCAAATGTGCCCCAGCCTATTTATGTAAGAAATTCAAATGTTATGTTTTCAAGACTCTTAAGCCTCGGTGGAGTCCCTTTAATGTTCTGTAATTGTGTAAATTTTCAGAGCGAATATCATCTGCCCCTACTAGGAGTTACATGGCTGGTAAGTACCAAAATGTTTAAATAAACATCTTTGGGGTTTATAGGGCTTGATCAGCATATTTTGGGGTTATTTAGGGCGCAATCAGCATATTTTGGGGTTATTAGCATATTTGGGGGTTTATAGGGCATGATCAGCATATTTTGAGGTTATTTAGGGCGCAATCAGCATATTTTGGGGTTATTAGCATATTTGGGGGTTTATAGGGCATGATCAGCATATTTTGGGGTTATTCAGGGCATGATCAGCATACTTTGGGGTTATTAGCATATTTGGGGGGTTTATAGGGCTTGATCAGCATATTTTCGGGTTATTTAGGGCGCAATCAGCATATTTTGGGGTTATAAGCATATTTGGGGGTTTATAGGGCATGATCAGCATATTTTGAGGTTATTTAGGGCGCAATCAGCATATTTTGGGGTTTTTAGCATATTTGGGGGTTTATAGGGCATGATCAGCATATTTTGAGGTTATTTAGGGCGCAATCAGCATATTTTGGGGTTATTAGCATATTTGGGGGTTTATAGGGCATGATCAGCATATTTTGAGGTTATTTAGGGTGCAATCTGCATTATGGGGTTATTAGCATATTTGGGGGTTTATAGGGCATGATCAGCATATTTTGGGGTTATTTAGGGCGCGATCAGCATACTTTGTGTTTAATCAAGATGTGATTAGCTTTTTTGGCTATTTGGCCATTAAGGGTGTTATCAACATCTTTTTGGGCTATTTTTGTGTATTAAGCATTTTGGGGGCTTTTTAGGGTGTGATCAGCATCTGTTTTGACTATTTGGGGCATGATCAGCATCTTTTGGTGGGGGGTGGGGCTATGTAGGTGTAGGGCTATTAACTCTGGATCAACTAGTCTTGTATATTTTTATAACTATCAGTATAATATCAGTAACTATAATGGGCTATGTCAGCTATATATGTTAGGGTTGTTAAATATAAGACATTTTATGTATCAAGAAGACAAAGCAGAAGGAAACATAGATCATGTTCGATGTAAGATATGTATTCTGTGATGTACGTTTCTTTCCTCATTTAAAGTAGAAAAGGAACATCACAATTTACAGAGATATCTTTAGACTTCTGCTAGTAAATCATAATTTCCGCGATTTTAAACAAAATTTTGAATGAAATTGCCAGTTTTGAGAGCACTGAAATTATAATGCATCCAAATAGGAAAATTGACAAACTTGAACGGTGAAATGATGATACAACAGGAAGGATAGGTTCTAGGTGTATTTGGAAAACATGGAGAGAATTGAGGCATTTTATTATATGATTTGTTCATACTGACTTGCAAGACAAAAATCCAGTGGAGAAATGAGGGATGTAAAATGATAATGTTAAAAAAAATCAAAGTAATACATGATCTAAAATGAATGGAAGTTGAAATGAATACAGCATAAATATTGTATTTTTTTGCACACTTTGGGATAATCATTATGAAATTATAAGACAAAATTTGTAAAAACATGAACATGTTTACAGAATGAATGAAAAAGATGACAAGATCTTATGGAAATGAAAATAGAAATAATATGAATCTTGTTTGAAGAAAAAAAAAAACGGGAAAAAAACATTGAAACGAGCAAGTTATGTACATGATCAGGGTTTTTATTGTTCATATTTCACTTATTCAAATTACAAAAGGTAATAGGATAATGTTCACAAACAAATATTCAAGAATCATTTTTCAGTATATTAAAATAGTAAGATGGCATCTTACGAGCACTTTCTAATGAAGATCTTACAATTTCTGCAAAAAAAAAATTTGTACAAGTAACACAACTACTGAAACATAAGGAAACTGGGAAAAATGTCTATTTTAGGGTAATTTGAAAGTCTGCCAACCTATAAATCAAGTAAATTAGTTTTTTTGTCCAAAGCTTTATCTATCTATGTGTTCATCATGGAAACAAAAAGAATAACAAAAACAAAAATAAGAAAAAAATATTTTCTTGGAGCATCTGGATGAAGAAATAGTTTCATGAAAAGTCTGAAAGGAAATGAACATTGTGGACTTAGGAAACTAAAATGCTAAAAGTTAAATGGAGATGAAGAAAGAAAAGTAATGAACTGAAGTGGGAAATGGAGTAAGAAAAGATGGACCTACTTCCATGTCAACTTTGCCTTTAGTACTCTATGAATGAAAAACATCAAAAACATGATATATTGAAGAGGGTTCAGAAATGGAACTGTAGGACAGAAGAATGAAATCTTAATCAAAATTGTTGTTGTGAATTATTACTGGTATTTCTTACCTCATTTTAAATTGGGAAGAAATTTTGCAATATATAGGCAGAATTGTCCATCAGTTTTTGTTTTTACACAAAATGTTACTTAAATAATATAATAATATTTTAATTTCTAGGAATATGGATATTATTAGAAAATTAGAATAATAAATAACTGGAGAAAAATGAGGGAATTCTACAAAACAAACAAACTTACATGTTGACTAACTGACTCCTTACAACAAGGTTTTATATATGTTTGATAAATGTTTCATATCCATTTAGCGTTAGTAAGTTTAGTGCCTGTCTTTGCCTGAAATAATTCACGAAGAAGCAATAGAGGACTTGTTTAACCATTACTGCTGGAAGGTTGCAACATGATGTTTTGATAGTGTTTATGTTATAACAATTACAGAAAAAGGAGCTCTCTGTAACAACCTTTTAAAGGTTTTGGGAAAGAAAGGCTTGTAAACCCATATCCTAGCAGTGATAACGATATGTTTAAGTCGCCAGTCATCCATTCTGTATTATGAGATAACATAACATTGTTGAGTACAATACCGAATTCTATTTGACAAGTACACAGCTGTCAAATCTATATTGGATGAGGCAATAGCCTTAAGTGTGATAGTACAGGTTTTGCAGTTGTATACAAGACCAATAGCATCAGTATTGTTCTAAGCAATGCATAATGACCTCTTTATTTCACATTTTTTGACAATTGGACAGAACTTTGTTAGTTCAAGCACAGTAAGGCATTGATATGGATCTTTTTACCCTGAAAATGAAAAGGAGGCTTGATAGAGTATGATATGTATTTGACATAGATATTTTGGACTCCTGAAATGAAAACAAGACTATACCAGAGGTAAAATATACGTCAGTAAAGATATTTTGGACTTTTTTTGAAAATGAAAAGGAGGCAATATTAGATACAATATGCATTTGATATTGATTTTTTTGACTGGAAATGGCAACAAGGCTAAAGATTGAATCTGATAATGATTTTTTTGGAACATCACATGGTTCAAATGCTGAAAGTTCATTGTTGATATTTTTTTAAGGCGTGAAGTAAATTAATTTACAGGCTACTCATTTTTAGCATTTTATATGGAAATTTAGCAAACTTGTACCATCAATTTCACATTCAAAGCTGACAAGTCCAGTACAGAAATTTACCAAGACAAGAGTTTGCTAGAACTTTTCGGAAATTTTTAGAAGCACAAAGAGGAAAAGCATTGGTTGGTTTTTAGGAACATGTCATGATTATTACAATGTATGTGACCAATCTTTAGCAAGTTTGTATCTCAGTATAATGTATATTGAGAACATTATTATTTGATTATGTGCAATTTTGAAAAACTAAAATAAACACCCCTCTCTGCTCCAAATAGTAGAGGTTTTTTTAGCCACAAAACAGTTTTTGAAATGTTTGTTGTCTTCAAAATGATAAGTTTGGACAACATTAGAACATATGATTATGGAAATTGCTGAGTAAAACAACAACAATTACAGAGATTGTGAAGTATGAAGAAAAAAAACACTGAAATAGTCCTACATGATGTTCAAAAACATTGCTGTTACATAATGTTGGAAAAGGCAAATATTGGATGTGGATGGTATTTGAAGTAAAAGGAGTTTTAGGGCACTGGAATGCATCAAAAAATGAAAAATGCTCATGAAAAGGGAGATAAAGAAGTTCTGAATGTTGGAAAGAGAAGGCGAAATGAGAATAATTAATGGTCAAGTCAAGTAATATTTATTTTATGAAGTCAGATGCAATAATAAATAAGGCATATCAGATATATGGGATAAAAAATTTATAGAGTTATGAAATTGCAACATTTGATAGAATATCTGAAGATGAATTGATTGAAGGTATAATTGAAAAAGTGTCATGCTGTCATTAGACAAAGGGAATAAAAAGGAACATAATATAACAAAAAGCACATTATTTTATATTGGATGCAATTCCAAGTTTAATTCTTTTCTGAAAGGTTTTAATAATTTATATTAGATGATTAAATTTGACAACGTAAAAGTAGATTTATAGGTTGGCAGATCATATATAAGTTGGGCAGTATGGTACATGTTTTCTAGGACAGTTTGGTCTTGGTTTTAAATTACTAGTGTTAAAATATTGAATTTGGAAAAAAAGAACTATGCTTCAAAATTCAAAATAGTCCCAAAATTTTGCATGAGTACTGCATCGTATGAATTGGAATCCAGCAGACATGAAAAAAACAATGCTTGAAATTTGAAACAATATTTACTCATTTTAACAATTCACCAGTTTAATATGTTCTGTACATTATGTTAACAAAGTTTGACCTTCTAGGTTCACCCCCAAGATCAAGGTCACCCTTAACTACAAGTAGGTCAGCATATTCCCCACCTCCTCGTGGGGCTCCAATGGGGAGAGAAATGGATAGAGATAGAGGTAGAGGAGACTACAGTCCTGGTTCAAGACGACCAGCCCCATATGATTCCCGCGGTCCAGCACCAATCAAAAGAGCCAGAGCTGATGACATGCCACCATCTAGAGGTCCTCCATCTCGAGATGGGCCTCCAAGGGGCATGTCACGAGATGGGCCTCCAAGAGATTCATCCAGAGGCCCACCTAGGGGACCTCCGAGAGATAGCGGAAGAGGTGGTCCTCCACCAACATTTAGACGTTAAAACAATCCATTAAATTAATGCAACACCCATATAAAGTGTTCATAGGAAGTTATTTTAACATTCTGTTCATGTTTTATTATCAGCAATTGTTATGTTGATCTAATGGGGTTTAATCTTTTATAGTTTTTTGTAATTAAGCAAATTATGTGAATGATGCGTTTTAAACAGACTGGACATGTTTTTTTTTGATGACCCAAGAAAACTGGAGATTTATTTTGAAACACGGACTTCTTGAATTCATATGCGATAAAAGTTTGGGAAAGTAAACTAAACAGAATGTTGTTACAACAAGTTATGAATGGAGTGTTTCTTCATCGGCAATGGATATGTTTTGTATGATGTGCAGAGGAGCAGCATTTTTTTACAGAGATATCTGAAGCTATGCATTGAAATAATGGGATTTTTGTTACATTTTAACAAAGTACACGAATCATGAGAATACTGGTATGTGAAAACACCAATTTTAGTGTTGTTTCATTTCATTTTAGAAAAAACTTTTTAGTTTTTATTCTATGTTGTAAAATATAAGGAATTAAAGGAAAAGAAAACTCGCTTGTTTAGTTCTTCATAGTTAGAAAATTATTCTTTGGATTGAAAACACAAGTAACAAAGGATATAACCTGTGGGTTTTTTTGTTTTGGAAAATAGAAAGGAAAATGTAGTCCGAAAATTTTGGAAAAAAGAAAGGAAAATGTAGTTCTAGAAGTCATACAAACCTGATCATGAAAATATGAGCTTTATTTCAGAAACATACAAAAGAAAATATATTTTAAATGGCAAAAGGTAGATGAAATCATAATGAAGTGAACAGGACAGTTCCTGAAAAGCGATAATCTTACAAAAAAAAGCAACAAAGATATCTCTAGGTTTATAGATTTAATACAAAGGAATGTAAAGCTAGGAACTACAAAAAAAAAGAAAAAAAGTTTTTATTGTAAGATAAACAACAAGTTATATATTGATAAATACATACCGGTTTAAATTTTTTAGTTTTAAATTTTTCCTGATTTAAACAAAGGGGGTTTGGGAAAATCTAATTAAAAACTACGGACCTCAATTTTTACATTGTTTATTTTCTTAAAAATAAAGGGACATGGTTTGGCATGGAAAGTTTAAAGCCAAAATCACTTAACCTTTTGCAATTTTTTTTTTCATAAATGTGAAAATATTTTTGCTGTTGTGGAAAAAAAAAACTTTTAAAATTAGTTTCAGAATATTTTGGGAATTTCAAATGCTACGTACAAAATTTTAAAAATTAAAATGTAGTAAAAAATTTGGATGATATAAAAAAAAAATTTTCTGATAAAAGGGAAGGGACTTTCTTTATTACAATAAATTTTTGAAATGAAATAAATATAAATTTCTCGACAGGAATTTTTATTTTTAGAGGGGTATAAAAAAAGTGTTTAAATTTAAGTATGCCATTTTTCAGGCATTTGCCAGAAGTTCAGCATTTTCCTATATAAATCCAATAAAAAATGCTTAATTCAGGGTCAACACATTTTGGAACAGGCATCCAACAGGTATTGAGTGTATCACTGTCACTGTGAAACAGATTATAAAGCTGTAATTTATCAATTGACAGAAGGTTATAATAGACATGTTTGCTATGACTTTAAATTGAGTTTTAATGAAAGATTGAACAAAAATAAAGAAAAGACATGACATGTTATAGATTAACTTGACAAATTTGATAGAGTAAATCATAAAATGTGGCACCTCTTACTTCCCCTGAAATTTGTTCCAAAACAAAATAAAGACAAATAGGTATTTAAAGTGTTAGGCAAGATAAAAGTTGACTACAAAGCAGTAACTGTTTCAATGCAATGAAGGTGAAAACTTATGGAAGAATTGAGGAAAAAAAATGAAGATTGAATGTGTAATGAGCAATGAAGAGGATGGGAGGCCACCATAGTTAATGTAAGTATGAAAGTTAAAAAAGAAAATATGAAAATAATATTTAAATTGTTCACTATACAAAATGTGCAGCATGCTTGCAGGTTGTGATAAGCATGGGACATATTTAAAAAAAGAAAAAGAAAAACAGAAGCTATAAAGTTGTGAGGGGCTAGGTTTTTGCGAATTTTCTGGAATGAACTTTTAGGAATAAAGATAGATACAAGATACAAAATGCACTGAAGGCAGTTTGGAATTAAGAGATAGAAACTACATGTAGGAAAATATTTAAGGTCTGTATAAATTATTTTCTTTTAATCAGCATAGATAAATAACTATTTGACATAATGAAGTGGGGAAAAACCCAGACAGTTCTGACAAAAGTGATGATGTGGAAAACAAACAAGAATGTTCTTTGACTAAGCACAGGTTAGCAATGTTTTTTGGTTTTTTTTGCGTAACAAATTTAATATCTTGGTGTAAGGGATGAAAATCTTAATCAAGAAAGATCCTAAACTTTCACATTTCAAATTTTTATCTCCAGATATTATAACAAACAATTTTTTCTGCAAAATTTGATGAAAACAGGGTTATCAGACCTGGAAAAACCACAGAAAAGGAGTTTTGAATGAAAAAATCATGGAATATAAAAGAAATTGTGCGAGAAAAAACAAAAGATATCTTATGGAAAATAGAAAAGTATCCTGAAAAGGTATGTTCATACATAAAAAGATATAAAAAAAAAAACAGTTGAAGTAAAATTTATAATCACAATAGTCCAAGGAAAAGTAATCACTATGTTCTATTTTATTTAGGTTGAATATACTTAGTGTGAAGCTTGTACTTCTATTGCAGTGGGGTTTTTGTTTATTCATTTATTTCATTGTTTCCAAGTTTGTTGTGTTACCCAGTAAAGGTATTTGTCAATTAAACACTGACTGGAGCAGACATAAACAGTACAGGATTAGAACCACTATAGTTGCACAAAATTGTGTGATATTTTTAATATTGACATCAAATATGGTAGAAAATAGTTTAACCCATTACATGATATACACGCCTTTTAACGCCTTTTTCACCCCCCCCCCTTTTTTTGTTGTCTCTAATGGTGAAAAAATGCCTTAGTTAGGCCCCCAACACTTGTTTTTGTTTGAGAAATGTTGTTAAAAAAGTGACCACTTTTTCGGCGCGGCCCCCCAACCAAAAGATACATCAGGGGGTTGCCAGAAGGGGGATGTGCCCCCTTTTGGGGGTTTGAAGGGGGGTGGAGTCCCCCTCCTCGCCAAGAAAATTTTGGACTTGTGAGAGGCTATAAATGACCCCAGATTGATCATAAGGTAACGTGTAACCAACGCTGAAAAGCATTTGACTCTATCTCAATCCATTGAGAAGTTGCAGCACTTTGAAATCAATTTTGATGGAAAAAATCAACGCAAAATAGTAATTTTTTGGCAATTTTGAGATGTCCCCTCGTTGCCATGGTAACAGAAAATTTAAGCCTGAGCATGTTGTTTCAAGGGCAATGGTCCAGTCAACATTTGTGCCAAGTTTGATTAGTGTTGAAGCAGTTTTTATAGTATAATAGCAATTTGAACTTGTAATGGGAGACTTTTCAATGAAAACAGCCATTTTTCACAAAATGCTCATGAAGTAATGGGTTAATACAGTAGTCGCATATGAAATAAAGCAAGAGAAAAAAGTGCTCATTAATGGCTGACGAAACCAATTGATTGAACAAAAAAAAACACCCAGAAAAACTTAAAATTTCAATGGTAAATTATTGGCTATTCCTGTGGACATTGGATAAGAGGCCTTGTGCGTATAACACAAATACACCAACACAATTTAGATTAAAACTGAAACAATGTTTGAACCTAAAAAAAATGCTGGAGACTTTGTAAATGAAAGGATACAGGATTGAAAGAAAAGTAGTCTCTGAATGTGGATAAATGTATATGACCAGAAATTGAAATCGTAACCAAATTACTAACAAAACTTCTAAGATGATATCTATTCATGTACATTGTATTAAATTTCTTACGTCCACCTAGAAATAAATGCAGTATGGCAGAAGACCTGATGAAGATTGTAAGATGCTAAAAAAGGGTGTTATAAATCTTGCATGCAGGGAAAAGATGCAGAAAAAGGTTTTATACATGAGGTACCTTACTTACAGAGAAAAATTAAAGAAAATGCGAATGTTTCTGCTTTGTGCAGGTTATCTTGTTTAATATAAGTAAATTAAGTTGTAAGACGTGTACAGTTTATCAAAAAAAAATATTTTACACTTGCTATGAAATTTGGAAAAGAAAAAAAGGGGGTCATGGTAATAAAATTAGAAATCGGAGGCTGTAATGAAAGAATGATAAGGTACCTATGAAATGCATGCTTGAATTTTAATTATGTTCAGATACGGATGATATTTCTACTGTATAATTGTGGTTCTTTGTTTTCTTTCATAGAGAAAAAAATATTTTTGTCCTGTGCATATTTGCCATTTTCTAGCTGACAAATTATCATGCAAAATTGTCACCATTTTTTCAGAAATTTTACACACCCTCTAATAAGCATTTGGCAATGTTGGATTGAAAAATAAAAGAAATGTTCAGCTCTTAAATTAATGTATAGTAATGACTATATTGCATAAAAATGGAAAAAAGAACTAAAAATAGTATGAAATTTGGAAAGTTTATCTAGAATACAGTTTCATTTATGGAAATTATCAACAAACTTATGAAACTGTATGCTTAAAAAAGATACATTCTGCTAGAAATAGAAAATGAATCATACATAACTGAAACTGTGAAAAGGAAATTTGATGGAGAAAAATATTGACCAGCATGGAGATTGAAAATTGTTGACAAGACAAAGAAGATTGAAGAGGAATATGGTAAAAGTTAAAAGGAAGTCATCATATGATAAGGTATAGTGGTATTGTCCCCATGTTGCTATTTGGAGATATGCTTGATAGACAGTAATTAATTTTCCCTTTGGGGGTATTTTTGCTACCTTTGGCAGTAGGTGATGAAATATTGCGCTAATGTTGTTACTGACGGGACCCTGTTTGATATATGATGAAATATATTGTCCTTTTGTTATAGTGGGACCGTGTACAATGGTAAAATACTGTCCCTTTGACTGGACAATATGATTGATAGCAATTTATCTTTTGCCATTTTGACCTTTATTGCTTATTGTAGCTATCATTATGAACTGAAGTTGGTGATGACTTTCTGACAAAAAGTTAAATGGTTGTATGGACTGTAGGAGTGTATGTTAGATATGGAAAACATTTAAAACACTCATTTATGTATATATCAATACTTTGAAAGATGAACTCCCTCCCTAAATTCTGAATACTGCTTTGTCTCCATCAAAAGCCTTTAAATTCTGTTATTTTGATTCTGGTTGCAGTGACAATAGGAAAAAGTACATTGTAACTTAAATATTGCCTGTGTGGCTTGCCAAATTTCCAAAATCTCAAAAAGGTCATCTGAATTATTTTAATGAAACTTGAATGTGTTTAAGTCACAATTGTAAAACGAAATTCTTCAAGTGTGCAATCGTGTCGCGTTTGTTCAGAGATGTTTTAAAAATACAGTTGGGAGAAACATGGTTCACCAAAAAAAAATTCTTCTGAAGAGTTTATGCTAGTT